AGCCCGCCCGCAGCGCCCGCCGCCGCCTCCGGCCCCGACGTGGATCTCCCAGCCGTGCCCCGGTCTTCCCCGCTTCCCAGGGGGAAATACTTCTTCCCAGCGGAATCGCCCTGGGAAGCCTGCCGCAAACCCGGCTGCGGGCTGCGAAGACGCGGCCGCGCGACGCGTGGTTGTTTTGGTTTTATTTTTTTATTTTTTGGATTTATTTTTTTTGTTTGTTTTGCTCCGTTCGGAGGAATAAAAATCTCCCTTCGCGCGTGGCGACAGGTTAACGCGCTTAGTATGGGAATCACGTCTGTTTTTAACACAACATGGCTGGTAAATAAAACCTGATTGCTAACAGACCCCAGTGCTGCTGTTGGCATTTTCAGGCTCAAGGCTCCCTTTGCAGCTCTGCATCTTCACCTGCCGCAGAAACTCTCATTCACCCTTCAACCGGTGCACCGAGGCAGGACTTCTCTATTTTTGCTGTAGGGTAGTAGTCAAAATTGATGTTAATGTGCCTTTGACCTCTGTTTGCACGCCTCCGTGCGCTTCTTCTCATCAGTATTTGAACAGCTGGCTCTAGTATTACCATCCTTATGCAAAGTACATCCAAGGCAGAGGGTTAGCATACAGGACAGACTACCGCTATGCTGTGAATTTAACATGTACATTGGTCCAGGTATGTACTGGAATCTTAAGAGCACTGCCAGCATGAGAAAGATGATGCAGCGTGATGCTCAGGAGTGGAAAAGGCAGCAAAAAAAGGCAAAGTAGATTTGTTTAGTGACCTAGCGGTGTGTATGGCTAGATGATCATCCCACTTACATAGAAGTTCATCTGGAAGAACTCCCTGGAAGTCGGTGATTCTCCTCTGCATTGAATCTGCTGGTAAACAGAATCTGGCTGTTAGCTTGAAGTAGCACTGTAAGTAATAATAATAATAATAAAAAAAAATATTAACCAAAATGGATAGGGCAGCAGAGTAACCTAGTTCTTTCCTAGGGAATTACGGATTACCATCCGTCTTGTTTATATATGTTAATTGCCGTGCGTGTGTTGGACTGATATTGCAACAGGCAACATGACTGAAGTAGTTTTTTTTTTTTTTTAATTTGCTGGAGTCAACAAAAATAGATTTTCATTTGGTGTTACTTGGGCACACAGACATCTCCTTTCTGTATCCTTCCTATGCAGCACTGGCGAGGTACAGTGGGGAAACATTTCCACGGCTAATACATTCTAATGAAAGGGAATATATGACTGTTTCAGGTTACTGTCAATGAGAGCAGGAAGGCAAACTGCTTGAAATGATGTAGGTATCGCTGCAGAAAAAGAACATATTATGCAAGTATCCTTGCTTGGCTAACGCAAAACACGCTGGAACTCTCTTGAAAGGAGTTGTCCTAAAAGATGAGTAAAACAACACTGCTCCACTCTGATCAATAGCTAAATAGTGCTACTCAGTGCAGTAATGGGAGCTGGGTTAAAGTTGATGTCTCCGTTTATATCTCAGTCATCTTTCTGGTTTTATATATATAGATATTTTTTTCCCCCTGTGTTTATGTGCTGAGGGCAGTGGTTGCTGCTTCGTTGTCCATTCAGGGCAACGACGACTGATCTGTTATTGTACTGGCAATCTGTCTTGGACGTTGTGGAGTGGAAGGCTTCTCTTGTTTTGTTTTCTCAAATCGAAGGCGTGTGTGCAGTGAGTGGAAGGATGACCATTGGCACTGAGCTGACTCGAAGGTCGTGGGGGCTCCTCGGCAAGTCAGAAGCAAAGCCCGCCAGCCCAGCGCATTGATCTTTAAGCAGGGAACTAGCGTTGCGGTGGCTCCTTGGCTGGTGTCGTCCAGCTTTCATTGGTGTCCCCGAAAGAAAACAAGAGTACTCCTTCTTCCCCGTACATTTAAGATGTCTGCTGTTTGCATGGTGGTGTCACAGCAGTATACAGCGCTGTAGATCTCCTCCCGTTGTCAGCGTATATGTGAATCTCATAAACACGGAGGCAGAAGCTTTGCTGTAGCTTTGTTTCTACCAGGCAGAAAAGAAATAGAGATCTCTGAGATTGTGGGCTGTGCTGTTGATCACGTTCAGACCTTTGTTCAACACATCTCTGTTGATTTGGCTGACTGAGCCGGCATCCCGGAGATATTTTATTTCTGGGGTTGAGTTCCATATGTGCCTACGCTTTTGATCAGTTGGGACCTCTGTCCCCAAGCTGATTCATTTGAATATAGCAGATTTTGTTTTTCTTTCCTTCCTTCTGAGCACACTTAGTACAAACAGTCTAATTCCTAAATTAGCTCAGATTGTCTTCTGGTGAAACCAGCATTATTTGAATTAAGAATCATAGAGGGGGAAAAAAAAAGAGAAAAAGTAAACTCAGGACAGGATCATGCTGTAACTTATAAGAGGCTGAGAGACTTGCAGGAATAAATGAGATCTTCCAGTTACTTTTGATTTAACAGAAGAGTCATTTATGTACCAGGAGGCTACGGGGAGTTAGGCCAATACCAGGATATAGAAGACAGTGGAGATACTTAGTTTTACATCACTCTACTACCTGGCCCGGAGACAACAGTCTCAACCTTTAAGTCAGCAAAGTCCCTTTTCAGGTTGGCTTACGTTCCCTTGTTTTCTTTCCCTGTGACGCTCCTTTCGCGTCTGAGATCCAGTTGTCCTGTGTCACCTGTGAGGACAGCAGGGGCTCGATTCGGTGCGCACCGCGCTCCCCAGGACTTGGGAGCCAGCCTTCCGCCCCAAAGCAAAGCTGGAACGACTCCGCCGAAAGGCACGTAAACGCACCGGTGAGGGGCTTTCTCTTTTTCGCCATCCACAACTTTTAAGCTGTCTTTAGGGGTACCGTGGTGGCAGGGACAGCTTTCACACCACTGCGTTTCGGAGTACTCCTACTACCCGCTCTATACGGCATCCCTCAGGGAGATCCTTTTCCAATTCCCTCTGTGCTGAATTCTTAACAAAGGCTTCACATACAGAAAAAAGTATTTGATAGTTGTCCACAATTAGTAATAAATAATAGAATTCATATGCCTGCAGTGGCTTTTGGAAACTCTATTTGGGTACCAGTTATCCATACAAGGCGAGAACGGCAGTTTGCTTTGCAAAACGCTTTGCATTTATTGACTTTTTTTCTACCTTTTGTTTTGCTTATCTTTTATTCTCTGACCAGCTTTTGTACATTTGCTCTCTCAATCTAACGACCTGTTTTCTTTGGCTTGAACTTTTATCTCGAAAAGACAAACAAGCAAATCCTGTAAAACAGGCCAGATTCTTACAGTCCTGTTTAGGTAATTCACTGTAATTTGTGGCTTCTATCCCTGTGCAAACTGATGAGCTGATCTGTACAGTAAGCTGTCTAATAATTTCAAGGTATAGCTCCTGAGGAGGCACTAAGTCATTCCTTCTCCCAAAGAAAAATAGGAGCATCGTCACATCGAGCGCTCAAAGCTAACATGGGTTTGTGCTGGGGAATGTTCCCTCAGAAACAGTCCTGCACCAATATGCGGATGCAGCTGCTGGGACTCTTGTTTGCTGCTTTAATTCTATGCTGCTGCTGTATCTAAATTCTCCCAGCATAACTGTCCCAGGAAATGAGCTGATTTGCATTTGACATCCGAGTTTATCTGCCCTGGAGTCATTCTGACAGTCTCGTTCCCACTCATTCAGGTGTCAGCCTTTGGACGGCGTAGGGTATTGCTACTTGTACCATTTTAAGATCTCGTTTTCGGAGTGTATCATAGGACCGTGATGTGAAACTACTCCAGTCTATTTATTTAATAGATTTTTTAAATGTTATCTTAAAGTGTGAAAACCTCTGCTTAAAACCATTTAAATATTTTATATATTGAAAAAAGCAAATCAATAATTCTAGTTTGTGCTAACGTCACTCGTAGCTTACCCTAAAGATGGCAGGAAAGGGGATGAGTATTTATATGGCCTAATTCCTTTTCTCAACAGCAATGATGATAATAGCAATAATAACAATGTCTGTTTATAACATGCTGGAAATTTTCAAGCCTAACAGCTCGCTCTTGGACATACACCGTTACACTTCTGCCACATCTGTTTGAAGGTTTGTCTGTCTGTTGTTGAGATATTTCACAAAATACCTAAATCACAATGGTATTTGCGTTCCGGTTGGGATTCTCGGGTCAGAATTGCTCAGTAGCTGTGAATGGAAGGATAATTATAGTCCGCTATCCGGGATTCATTGGGCCTGCTAAATGGAGCTGAGGGTTAGGACGGCAGAAGTTCTTTTGATCTGCGTGCTGGGTTAATAGCATAGATTTGTATTCCCTGGCTCCTCCAAATGAGGCACGTTCTGCTATTTTTTCCTCCAAGGTCCAGAGTACTGTCCTATCTGATCGGGTGGGAATTCTGATGGAAAATTTTCTTATTTAAAGGATATGCGGCAGAATTGTGTTCTCTTGTCGTAGGTAGTGGACATATCACAAGGTCCTGCAGCAGCTGGAGGAGGTGTAAATTGCCCTGTTTTCAAGGTGAAATCTTGACCCTGAGGAATCCCCCGGCAAAACCCTCATTCATTTCACATGGAAGAAGGCTTTCGTTCAGGAGGGGTGTTTGGCAGGCTGGGGTGACTTTCATGTACTCTCACTTAGGCATCTGAAAACCAGATGGTCACCTCCGGGTGAATACCCTCCTCCCCCAGATTCCCTCCCTGTATTACCCATGCAGAGGGTGGTTCATCTGATCCTGAAGTGGGTCAGATGAATCGCTCTACAGGGGTTCCTGCAGTAACTGCCTCAGAGCTTCACATCCGAAATCGGTGAGATGAATCCCATTGTGTTATCCTGGAGACATGCCTGAGAAGCATAATCCCTCCCTTGCTCCCATCTTTGCTCAGGGGAAGGCTAGTAATGTCGTGCTAGCTCTTAGCAACAATCATGATAGATGTCCAGTTTTCTAAACCGCCTAAGCCCGCTGCGGTGGCTCCCGGAGCTTCATCACTGCCTTCTTCCATTTACCCAACCTGCAGCAGGCTCGGTCTGTCCCTTCCAGGGAGCATTCATGCCACATATCCCATGCAACGCTCCACATATTTGTGCATTTTATTCATTGACTACTTAGGATCTCAGAGGCTTCCTCACTGTATCGACGTTTACAGTCTTCAGAGCATGTCCAGTTCCTCAGAGGCATTTACCGCCTGAAGCTTGTTTGTCGTTCTGCGACCAGGTGGGGACACATCCACACAAGAGCACAGCTAGGACGGCGATATGATTTTTTGCAGGCACGTGCCAGCTCGCCTTGCCTGGTCCCTGAGCCAGCCAGAAGCTGTGCAAGGCTCCAAGCCTGATCTAATACACCCGACTTGTGAATACTTACACTGTATGTTGCGAGAAGATGCAAATGAATGCTGACCAGATCTCATTAGCTTAGGGTTGGCACGTTGTGAAATACATTTTGGCCAGCTTGGAGCACTTGACATGCCTAGAATTACGTGACCTGAAAGCTAGCTTTTTGCCCTAAATCAATAGCTCAATGCTCTCTTATTATAATGCATCCTCTGTCCTAAGCTAACAAAATCCAACTGTCAGTTGATAAATGGATTTAACTAACACCTTTCTCCTTAACTATGACTTTTACAAATATTTACTGAAATCCGAATAATGAAAAAGAAATATAGACAAACCTCTCAAAACACAATGGTGTGTAGACTGCGATTGAAGTTGCAGAAGTAAAAGATATACTTCTCTATAGCCCAAAGACATTATATTTATTTAGAAAGGCATTTTGAAATAGATAAGATATTCTAAATTATTAATTTATTTTTCTAGAATGCTTTATTAGGCTTTATTAAATCGTAACATTTCTGTTTCTGCTTTTGCTGATACTTTTCTGAAGTTTATAAAAAGACTTTTTATTTTTTGGAAAAATATAAATGA